GTGTACAATGGCATTAAGAATTTTTACACTCATTAAGAATACTCTAGAGACTATTGCTCATTTAGTTTTATCACACATCTTTTACATATTCTAGCAGGATGCCGTTTAACATTTGCATTTTCCATCTTTTGCTGAAGAAGGCAACAGTAGTGGCCGAAACGTCCGATAACCATATTTTTAGCCAGTGACAACCATTTAATTCCTTTTTACCAATTTTTAACATGCCTGGCTACACACCGAACATTTTTAAAGATTGTTTGTAAGAACAATGTTGAACTGATCATATCAGTCATGTTTTTATTTTCTCAGGGTAGCACTAAGACTTCTAGTGCTAAACACCATATTTTTGTGTCTGCCCAGTGTTGCCTGTTTGTCAATTTGAAAGGCCTCAAAGCTGTTTCAAACCTTACACAAAGTGTACATGGTACCTGTAGCTACATGTAGTATAGCTGTATTTGTGGTTAACTATTTTGTGTATTCTGTATATAGGTATTTCCAGTGTGAGCCTACCTTTGGGTTGTTCGCTCCACTCCACAAAATTGTCAGATCAAGTCTACCTTTACCAATCAGACTTCAGACACAGTTACAGCCAGAGAATGACTTACAGAACACTTTGGGTGCCCTAGGAAGTGACAGCTCTCTGAATTCAGTGGCTTCAACCCTAAGCGGATCCTCTCTTACCCCCAAACCAGCTACAACAAGCACATCACAGGTTTCATTAGTTGTTTTTGCTTAAAGTTGTATAGTTTGGTCTTGTAACAGAATTTATTCTCTATTCATTTATTGACACTCTGCACAGGTAGTCATTAGATTTCACAGGGTTGCTCACTCTGCAGCAAGTAGCAGATATTAGAATCAGAGACAGAATATGGTTATCAAACTTTTCAGCTATCCATGTGCAGCTTTTTTATTTTTGTGCAATTTATGATAAATATACAAGTTCATATGTTAATTTTGTTTCCACATGGACAGATTATTTCTAGTCCCGAACCAGAGGAGTCTGAAGTGAAATCCTCATCATTATCATCACCAGAACCAGTACAGCCTCCGCCATCTTCTGGTGTCATTGCATCACAGTTAGTAACTTTGCAGGTACAGTAATGTTGCAAATATTATTATGCTTAGGTAGCACTTAAAGTGATGTCAGTGGAGTGCAATTTTACTGATTTGAACATGCCCAGAACAATTCCAGGCTTAACATTATATCATGGGGCATTGTGTTTTAATTTTCAATTCTTTAATATCATTGGAACCCTCTCAAGCCCTCGGTCATGAAATCAAGGTGTATAAAACTGTTTCTATTTGTTGAACTCATTTTAAGTAAAAAATAAAAACTTCTTTTCTTCATTCAGTATGTCATGAATTTTCTAGGTCTGGTCAAATTATAGCGAAGATTAAATTAATGTAGTGAATTATGGAAAAGAGTCCTGATCTACCTTGGCTCTTGCCATGTATTCAAACAGTGATATAATCTCAATGTTAATAAACTTGGTACCAGGGCACAGGACACTGTTTGACTCCAGTGATTTATTCCAAGACACTCTTACTGGCTGATGTTTATGCGGGTAACTTCAGAAAATGGAAAAATCAACTCTGCAATTTGTGCCATGTTTTGTTCAGTTTTGTCATATTTAAGAACAACTTAATTTTGTTTTGTTTGCAAGTAAAATGTTTGTCCAAATAGTGTTTATTTGTTTCTTGGGGTGCTTGTATGCAATATTTTTTGATTTGTGTTTTGATTAACCTAAATATTTGGTATTGTTTGTAATAACATAATAAGAATGTGAAAATGTGAATACAGCCAAGTACAGCCGTAATAATATAATAACAAAGAATCTGAAGACTAGGGAGAACACTGCAAAGGAAAACAATTTTTGAGGTCAAAGTGAAAAGAAATGACTTCAAAGAATACATGTACTAGACTGTAGAAAAACTGGGACATTGAGGTGTTAAACAATAAACCAATCTGTGGAGTTTGTTGTCCCTTAATGTGCCTATAGCCCCCAAATATTTTTAGTGGGATTAAATCGTTGATTTGTACGGAGCAAAATGCTGCAAAAAGTTTTGTTTTGGTTAAAACCACAATATTTAGTGAACTTATTAAGTCAGGATTATTTAGCACACGACCAAGGGCAACGGAGACTGGGGCTTGTGACGTCAAACAAGGATATTGGTGCGAGTTTTGAACTGAAGAGAAGAGGAGTAGATATAAAAGATAACTACTGAATTTCCATAGTATGTTAATGAAATAACCTTTTCTTGGCAATCTTAAACATGTATTAAGTTGTTTAGATGTATTGTGCGTTTATCATCCAAAATTCTTCAGATTCTAAATTCTGCAAGATTGTTTCCACAAGCTTGTAAACACCAGTTGATGTAGCATACTCATTCCTCAGGGCATGTAAAGCTGTGCTAAATAAATCGGAATCACTTCGAAGATTTGTAGAAAGAATTTCAGAATACCCAGACTTGGGATAACTGTTTGCATGGCAATTCGCCGAAGAAAGTCTCATGTATTAATTTTTGCGATGGCTACTCATTCAGCTCAGTAAGCTATGTGCAAATGTGAAGTGCTGCAATTCCAGTCGATCTTTTGAGTGTAAACAGACTGAGAAGGTTTGAAACTCTGACTCTAATCAGCAGCAGTCACCAGAATCACTTAATACATTCAAACAAAGATAATAATTATTTTGAATCAACAAGATAAACTACCTTGAATTCTACGAAAGTTCTGTAACCCAAATGAACCAAAGCCCTCATAATTATAATTTCATCTTTACTTATTCTTCGCTGCAGATTCACTGATCAATCAAACCTGACCATGAAATCTTCCCAAATCTTGTTTGCTGAAGCACTTAATGTACACTGCCAAGAACTTGATTGGTCCTTACAGTCTTATACACATTTTCTTGCTCAGAATAATGTTACAACAACTCGAGGCGAGCAAGTACATGTGTGCAAATGTTGTACGAATGATCTCCTTGCATGACGTCACAAAATGCGCTAGACCCAGATCCTTTTGACTGGCTCTGCGACTCGGTAATGGTTTTTATTATAGCAATTTTTCACAACTTTGAAAATTCATAGAAGATTGTGGTTTCAACCAAAGGCCAAAATATTTTTGGTGTTATGATCAAGAATGTATCACAGTGACTATTATTTTAGACTGAAAAAAAATGAGGGGTTATAAGCACTTAAATTCTCAAACTAGATGCTAATTTAAAAAACAACCTTAAAGTTACGTCAGATTTATGAGAATGCTTTGGTCGATAAATAACAAAATATATTAATGGTAATATTAAATATTGATCGATAACAAAAGCTTTTATTTTGATATGCAAATCTTTTAATAAATTCAACACGGATGGAAAAAAAATTTGTTTTGCTTTGAATGTACTTGATAAAAATAGTACTTGCCTGTTTATGTGTTTCTTTGGATTTGCAAATATAACTTTGGAAGAAGTTTTTACTGTTTTGACAGAGAAAGGGCCATTACAAATAGATTCTGTTCAGGGTTCAAACACACAACTTACATGTACCTGATCTAGATATTAAGTTTCTGTTTTCTTATTTGTGATGGCCATGCCTGGCACTAGCTTCCCTTCAGTCAGAACAAAGGCTTTTTAATTTTCTTTTTAATAAAAACTTTAGCATTATAATAGTTTATATAGTCATGTTTGAAACTTTAAATTTGATGAAAATTTGAAATTTGTGTTTTAGCAGCAATAAAATGCCTTAATTTCAACCTCTGTGCACTTGAATTAAAATTTGCCAACTATCTTCAGACTTCAGAAGTTTTCTGTGTGTTTATAATGTCTTAATTAATGATGATCATAATATCAATTAATAATATATTAATGATGCATGGTCATGATAAAACCCTGACTAGGTTTTGTACGGAATCTTAAAACATTATGAACTTTCCACTACAGTTTTCAGTTGGTGATAAACCTTAATGCACAGAATAAACACTTAACAGCATGTTGTTTTCCAGGATTCCATGTTAAGAGATGTTTCAGGTTACATTGTTAAAAAAAAGAAGGTAAGACCACCTGAAAAAGCAAATTAGCAAATTAACTTTAAGTAATAATTTACTGGCTGTAAACTGAATTTCAACACAGATCCATTAAGCAACAACTGAACAAATAATTATTAAATACTTATAACTGTTAATAAATTCTGTTTGTTGTGATAAGTTACATACTTCTTTGACCTACCTTTCTGAAGGGGTTTTTGGCAGTTCATGTTATGGACTAGATAGACAGATGGTTCAGATATTATGGATTTAAGCTGGATATGAATGTATCCTATAGAGAGCATTCTTTGACGTCTCAGATAAATTGCCAGCTGGTACCAGCATACGTACTGTTGCATTTGTAGCTTAAACAAAACAAGACACCCCACTTGTTTGGAGAAGGGTTATGAAAGTAATACCACGGTGACCTCTTTTTTAAATTTTACTGCACACATTCACAATATGGATAGAAGTACATCACTAACAGTACTATTAGTATTAATTTACACTATTTACAGCACCTGTGACTAATTGTAGAGACCACCTCTTTCTCTGATAATAGAAGGTCTTTACCTTACACGATAGTTTAAACCTTTTCATTAAAATATCAAAAGACAGCACATAAATTATATAAGTTGGTCTTAAAATGAACTTGAAATCAAGCTTTAAAACAATTAACTCCCACTCTGCCTTTTGGACTCCTTTTTCATGTGGTCCATCCACATGTTCTTAATGTATAACCGGTCAGTGTAAAACACAGACTGCAGACTGCAGACCGGGGGTAAAATGCAGACTGAGGGTAAAATGCAGACTGAGGGTAAAATAAAATATTAATAATAAAAAACACAATGATCAAATC